GTGGCACGGGGGGCTCATTGGAGATGGCCAGGGCGGGGAGCCAGTGGCCCCGAGTGCTGGTGCCGCGTCGGAGATATCAGGGGCAACGCCAAGGGGGGGAAAGTCTCAGGTTGGGGGTGCTCGAGGTTTCCAAGGTTTTTGGGCGTCTTCGTTTGTCTTCGGCGGTTTACCAGCCCGGGGATAAGTTCCAGCAGCTGCGCCTCGCCGAGGGCGTTCCGGGGGTGCCCACATCGTCCCGAATAGCTGCCTGAGAGCCGAGTTATGACCCGAAAACCAGGGGCCTATGTTAGGTGGGGTATTCTCATGGTGGGGGTGCATCGACCCCCAATCGCCCATTCATCGCCGATAGGGGCCCGCTAGCTCACCCCGCCCCGGCCCGCTCGGATTCCATATCTGGGGCCAAACGCCGATCCATCGGCGTGGTATCGCCGATTCCAGCTCGATGTTTCCACCCTGAGCCCGTCTCCCGCTAACGTTACCGCCCAAGAGTGCAGATAATGCATCGGAGATAAGAGTCGACGGGTCGATTCCCTTCTGCCTTTATTTTCTGGCCTCGTATGTCAGGGCTCCAGGGCGCACGAGTGTCACGGAAGATTTTCGGAATTCTGCACAAGGACGAGAAACATGAGGATGAACGTGAGAAGATCAGGGATGATTAGCTTCCGGATGATTGTCAAAGCGAGGACGACTTCTACTGCGCTGGCGCTGATCATAGTCGTTCATTCGGGTGGTCTTTCTTAGCAGGTAATCCGGAATCGAAGTGCACGTGTAAGCTTTGACTACACATGCCTTATCTCGCGCGCACATATATGTAGGCTTCTACATGGTCGCACTCGGAATGACGTTCCGTACGTTTCCTCCACTTTCTGTTACGTGTGTGTCACATCAAAGTCACTGTGTTGCGTACGTTTGTGTGTGTCTCACAATCAGAAATCACATCAAAACTGAATATAAATATATATATACATATATATATATAGACACGCACTCACGCACACACATTCACACATGCACACTTGCACACATGCACACTTGCACACATGCACACATGTACACATACACTGGCACAGACACATACACATAAATTCTACATGAGCACACATACATATATACGTATACACATACATTGTAATGGCCTCCGGCCAGTGCCGCCGATCCGGGGGGCTCCGGATTCGGTGATTTTCGTGGCTCTGTGGCCTCCTCTCTCCTCGATGTGCGCAAATGATTAAGAAAACGCCAGATGTGGGACCGCCCTTCCCCCCCTACCCCCTTCCCCGGGGAGGGTCTGGGGAGGGTTCCGAGGGGAGAGTCCTCGGGGCGGTAGCGGCTAGATCTGAGGAGCTCTGGGACCCTCCGAGACATCTTGGGGATGCGCAAATCATCCAGAAAATGAGACATGGGGGACCGCCCGCCCCCCCCTTCCCTTCCCTTCCTTCCCCGGCAGAGCCACCCTGGCGACCCCCCCCAAGCAGAGCTGAAGCTGTTGCTTAGGGTCAGAGCTGAAGCTCTTGATGCGGCTCCTTGTAGCTCACACGCCGGATTTGCGTGTGTATATATGTATATATGTGTATATTTATGTATATATATATATATATATTATACGTAAAACAAATGTGTGTATATACACATATTTAGATATGGGTACATGGAAGGGCGCTTTCTGTGGCAACTTTGGGGGGGAGGTCGAATCCTCCGAAAGAGCGTGTTCTACCGCTGCTGGCGGAAAACCGGGGGGGGTCACTACCGGTTCGAACCCCTTCCCCCCCACCCACCCCCCTCCGGAAAACTTGGGGGGTCACTACCGGTTCGAACCCCCCCCTCTCGAAAACCGGAAAGCCGGGGGGGGGTCACTACCGGTTCGAAGCCCCCCCCACTCCCCCCTTTTCCGGAAAACCGACCGATGGGGGGGGCGGACAGTGGTGGGGACGGTGGTGGTGGGGACAGTGGTAAGGGGACAGCGGGACAGTGGTGGGGACAGTGGGACAGTAGTGGGGACTGTAGTGGCGGGGACAGTGGTGAGGACAATGGTCGGAACAGTGGGGACAGTGGACAGTGGTGGGGACGGTGGTGGTGGGGACAGTGGTGTGGGGACAGGCGGGGGTGGAAACAGTGGGACAGTGGAGGGTATAGTGGTGGTGGGGACAGTGGTGAAGGCGGTGGCGAGGACGGCGGTGGGACAATGGGACAGAGGTACAGTGGGGACAGTGGTGTGGACAGTGGGGACAGTGGTGGGAACAGTGGGACAGCTCAGTGGGACAGCGGAGGAGTCAGTGGGACAGTGGGGACAGTGGGGATAGTCGGGCAGTGGTTGGGGCCGTGGAGAAACTGGGGAGAGTGGAGCCGTGGTGGGAACAGTGGTGGGGACAGTGTGGACAGTGCTACAGTGGTGGGAGCACTGGTGGGGACAGTAGAGACGGTGGTGGAACCGGTAGTGACCCCCCCTCCTGTTTGCGATGGGGGGGGGTTCGAACTGGTATTGACCCCCCCCGGTTTTCGAGGAGGGGGGGGGGGAGGAGGGGTTAGGGGAGTGGGGGGCTTTGCCGGGGGAGGGGATGGGGGAGGGGGGGGGGGGGGTCCAGCAGGGAAGGGGGGGGAATTTTCGGAGGGGGGGGGAACCCCCGGTTCCGGAGGAAAAAGGTGGCAATTTTCCACAGTAGAGCGGCGGTGGACCACGCACTCTCAATCCTCCACGTCCCCACCTCCAAGGCCCCCCCTGGGCAGGGGGAGCGGCCAATCATCTCACACGCCTTCTCACTCCTTGCAGGCGGGGGTTGGCGGATTAATCGCTGGGAAGATGCAAGGCAGGTAGTTTCTTTCCAAGACGGGGTTTTCGCCTGAATGCCAGGCCCGTAGGTTATTGGTCTTTCAAGGAGGCGCCCCTTTTAGTGCAAGTATTGCTTATGAGGAGGGGGCTTTGAGGTTGTATTGCAGCATCGTTGATTCATATTGAGTTTAGTGTGGCCTTCCTCCTCCTCATCCTTTTTCCTCCTTGTCCGCTTAAGGGTCCTCAGGAACTTCAAATCAAGCTTACGGGTTATCCTTTGAATTTCCAAAGGAATATTTGGAACCCTCGGGAACCGAAAGGACTTTTCATACCCCGCGAAAAAAATGGAACGGGGCGCAGGGGCTGTGGCGTACGTTGTTAGTGTGTGTGTGTGTGTGTGTGTGTGAGTGTGTGCAGTGTGTGGGTGTGTGTTTGTGTGTGAACGTGTGTGTGTGTGTGTGTATGTGTGTGTGTGTGTCTGTGTGTGTGTGTGTGTGTGTGTGTGTGTGTGTGCGTGCGTGCGTGCGTGCGTGCGTGCGTGCGTGCGTGCGTGCGTGCGTGCGTGCGTGCTTGCGCGCGCGAGTATGTGTGTGTGTGTGTGTGTGTTTGTTTTTGGGGAAGGTGTGTGTGTGTGGGTCGCTGGGTCAAACGTTGCCGTAGGCATCATGATCAAGAGTTGACGTCTGACAGCATGCGCGCGGGGCAAACTGATGCGAAGTCTTTTTTTTTGTCTCTTTCAGGCGTGGCCATTTTCCCATCTGCGAGGCTGCTGCAGTCTCACATTGCATAGGCTGGTTGGCTGCTGCCCCTCCCTCTCCTCCTTCCCCTCCTCCCCTCTATCCTCGTTCTCCGCCTCCTCCTCCTTCCCCGCCACACGCGATTTTGCGAAGTGAGGGTGGATTGATGGTGACATGGCACACCCTGGCTATAAGCCCCTAGAAGAAGTCTGCGAGCTGGGGATTTCCCAAAGTGAAGGGTGTCCCCCATCGGCAGCACCTGCGTGACATCGGAGGACTGTCGAATGGAGACCCGCTCGTAGTCCTGGCATTTTGAATCCCTCCACTTCCCGCTTTCACTTTACACATTATGAATTCTACGCTCGTCCCTTCCCTGACTCTGCCTGGAAGACCCCCACTCGTTTCTTACATTCAGTATTAGACTAACGTGGTATTTCGTGCAGTTTTTGCAATCCGAGTGTTTTTGGTGTTTCAGAAGTTGTTCCTGCTGCAGCATGTGCCTCATTTTTGGATCGGCGCCTTGCTCCCGTCGTTCAGAATGGCGCTCTCGGCCCATAGTGCGCCATTTTTCTGGATCCAAATCCTTCCTCACCGTTGTCGCCCCCGTTTTTTCCCCTCCTCTGGTCTTTCTGCTCCTCCCGCTCCTTCCACTCCAGTTCTCTCCTGCTGCTATTCGTCCTCGTCCTCCGCTTCCACGTCCTCCTTCCTCATCATTCCTTTTTTTTTCCTTCTGTTCAGTTCCTCCACCTTATCACTTTGGTCCTCCTGCTCCTCCCGCTCCTTTGTACCAGTGCCACAGAGGGGTTCGGCCGTCTCTTGAAAACAGGCGGGTAGCAACCCGATCGTAACCCTTGCTGGACGCAGCTTGGGGAGAGATTCTTGCCGCTCGGTCTAGCCAGCCGAGTGCAGGGTCTGGCCCCCGGATCCACCTTGGAAGGGTTCTTTTCAACGGAGTTACTTCACGGGGGCTTCCTCACGTTCGGAGGTGAGGGGGGAGTAAAGTCCCGTCGTTGCTGTGGGTAGTACATTGTTTCGTTGGGCCGGCGGGCAAGTGGGTGTGGCGCTGGCGCCCGTGTTCTCTGGCTGGCCGCCACCAGAGAGCCCCACGCGGCTGTGGCGGCTCCGGGCTACGTGGGCCGCTGCTGTTCTCGGGCTCAGGCCTGAGGCTGCGCGGGCCAAATGCATGTGAATTCATGCAGGAATTCTGGGCACCCTTTACGGAGGTAGGCCGCGCGCTTCGTGCGCGACCCGTTCGGGTGTTTTGTGCCGGGCAACGTCCGCCCGCCGCTCCTTCGATTCCACTTCGTGTTGTTGCTGTTCGTCGTCTTCCTTTCTCACCTCCGTCCACCTTTTCTGGCTCATCCTCCTGATTGCCCGCCACCTCGCCCTGTGCGCAGCTACCCTTCTCCGATTGCGCATGACGTGATGGGGTCTTCAGAGTTCCATGTCGGAGATCTATTGTCCTTCGGCCCATCCCGCCAAAGTGCCTGGGTGGTGGG